CTTTTTATTTTGTGTAATCAATAAACATTTTATTTGTTTTGAAAGAAACACTTGTCCTTTTGATTTTAAGGATAGGTTGGTGGCAGCAGTTTTTGGTGAAAGGTAGTGAGCACTCTTGGAGGCCTGAGTTATCAGAGGCCTGAGAGTGGCGCACTACAGTCCCCATGTATAATTACAATAAAGGTATGGAAAGTATTGTTAGAAGTTGGTAACATTTCCCTAGGGTGACTGCAGCCTGTGGTATCTTAAAAGTGGGGTTCAGGATGCATGAGTTCTCTGATGTTTCTGATTTGCTTTGGAGTAAGCATAAAGATTCTGGATCAGTAGCACTGTGCGTGTGTGCATGCGAGGAGGGCCAGATTTGCATATTTTGTGGAGTTATCTTTGATTTTAATAAAGGTATTATTGCCTTCTGTAGATTTTGGTTTATATGTATGAGCACAACTTATAGGTTTATTCGTTTTGAGGGTGCAAATAAAACTACTGAAAGAGACTAAAGACCACTTTTTCATGTTCTGTGGACCTTCTTATGGCTGTTTTGCATGCACTCCTCCTTTCCACTATTTGCTACTCATGAGCTTAAAGTCCTCTGCCTCAGTCAATTGATGCTGTAATAGAGGAGGCTCTATATATTGAAATTTAGCCTATTCCAGACAGTTTTCAGGGGTGTCCAACCTTTCACCTTCCCTGGGCCACATTAGAAGATGAAAATTTGGTTTGGGTAGCATGGGGGGGGCAGCCCTAACCATCCTCCGCAGCCCCGCTCCAAGCATGTTTACCGGCAGCTGCGATCTCAGACAGCAGAGGTTTCCAGCTTCGACTCTGGTTGCTTTATGGGGCCGGGAGGGGGTCCACCTATTGATGGGGACGGTGCAATGCAGTCACGCAGCCCCCTCTCCCCTCCTCTCCTGCTCCTTCCTTCCTTCCCTCTCTCCACCCCTACTGTTGTGACGTGCCCCAGCCGCATTCCGGCCGCAAGCGCCGGCAGTGTAACTTGAAACTTTGGAATTTCTTTTAAAATAAAAAATTGCACTGGGCTGCATTATGCGCCTACCTGGGCTGCATGTGGCCTTCGGGCCACAGGTTGGACAAGCCTGCTTTACAGCATGCAGGTACCTTATCTATATCCTCAGGTGTCATGGGACTTTGAAGTATGTTTCTGACATGAAGAAAAACTTCAGTCCTGAAGTGCTTTAGATCCAGTATTCCATTTCATTTTCTGCAAACAAGAAAAGGGAAATTCATTCTCCTTCTAATTTATGAATGATCTTTGTTGTTGTTTAGTCGTTAAATTGTGTCCAACTCTTTGTGACCCCATGGACCAGAGCACGCCAGGCCCTCCTGTCCTCCACTGCTCCCAGAGTTTGGTCAGTCATGTTGGTAGCTTCGGTGACACTGTCCAACCATCTCGTCCTCTGTCGTCTCCTTCTCCTTTTGCCTTCACACTTTCCCAACATCAGGGTCTTTTCCAGGGAGTCTTCTCTTCTCATGAGATGGCCAATGTATTGGAGCTTCAGTTTCAGGATCTGTCCTTCCAGTGAGCACATAAAGGATCTAGCTAGTCCATATGTGAAGTTACCTTCTAACAAATCACTGTGTGTTTCCATTCAAACCTATAAGAAACATTTGATAAACTTTGTGACCAAATCCTGATCGTCATGATGGAAGATATATTCTTGTATAATAAACTTTTAAAGGGGAAAAATATTCTTGAATGCAGCATCCCCTCTAAACAGGACCAAATCCTCAACAAGAGTTTAATCTATTTTGTTTCACCTGTAATACTTGCTGAAAGTCTCCTCAAACACTCTTTTCAAGAGAGAGTTTGTCCACGTTTGTGCATGCACACATGTGTCATCCTGATAGTAAAAATCAAAATACCAGAAGGTCTTACACCAAGTTAAGCATTAATCGAGATACCGATTTTTCCTTTTTGATTGTTTGTTAATAACATAAATCATAGTATCAAAACATCAAACAAGTATAAATACAAACAAATGAGATTTAAAACTTGGATGAACAATGAAACATAGTGTTCCATGTATTTCATTATAGATTTTGCAAGCATATTTTTGTCAAATGAAATTCTTGAATTTATCTTGTTATGAGATTGTTCCAAATATTTCCATGCACATTTGGGGATCTTACTGAGTTGTCATACTATGTTGAATAAATTGTAGAAAAGAAAATCATGTTGCCTATATTGTAGGTTGTTCTTATTTATTTGATCCCCAGTAGTACATAATTCTTGGGTTAATTTTTCCAGACCAGTTATATCCCATACTCATCTAAACCATTCATTAATTGTCAAGTCCCTCCTGTTCTTCCAAAGTTTAGTAATAATTTGCCTTGCTGCAACCAATAGAAAAGTAATAAGATGTTTCGTAAATTCTTGTTATTACTTTTGTATATATTGAGGAGTGCTAATAAAGGGTCTAAGCAAATACTTTGTTTTGTGATAACAGCACTATCTTTTTTGTACTTTAGGCTATTATTTTTTTACTCTAGGACAAAACTACGACAAACAAAGGTATGACCCTAATTCACCACATCCTCTCCAGCAAAAAGTATTCAGTTTGTTGGTGGAATGTGCTAACTTCAGTGGGATTAATACCATTTATAGATGAGCTTCAGGGGACGTGGTGGTGCTGTGGGTTAAACTGCAGAAGCCTCTGTGCTGCAAGGTCAGAAGACCAGCATTCGTAAGATTGAATCCACGTGATGGAGTGAGCTCCCGTCGCTTGTCCCAGCTCCTGCCAACCTAGCAGTTTGAAAGTATGTAAAAATGCGAGTAGATGAATAGGTACCACATTGGTGGGAAGGTAATAGTGTTCCATGTCTAGTCATGCTGGCCATATGACCATGGAAACTGTCTTCGGACAAATGCTGGCTCTATGGCTTGGAGACAGGGATGAGCACTGCGCCCTAGAGTCGGACACGACTGGACTAAATGTCAAGGGGAATCTTTGCCTTTACCTTATAGATGAGCTTCAGTGTTGTTTTCCTGATAATTGCTTAAAATAATTTACATGGTAACTATGACCATAATTTGTTCTATGAATTTTCTTGTATATTGTGACACAAGTCATTATCCCAAGTATAATTCAGGTCTATTAAAATTTTGTAAATAGTAGTGATTGCACCCTTATTGTTTCATTACAGTTTTTAATTATTTGTTCAAATGGGGATGAGTTTTCTAGCTCACTGTCTGACTTCTTTAGTGCTGAGAAAATACAAGACCTGGTGCATACACAACCACACACGTGGATTACCTGGGACTCTATTTAACTTCTTGTAATTTAAAAACCTTTTGGGAAGAAGTCATTCAAGGTGTACAGCCCTGTTGATTTCCACCCAAAAAATTGTTTAACCTTTTCAGAAGGGTAAAACAATGGGTGGTAAATAATAAAGATTAAGGCAGTATCAGAGGGATTAATTAATTTGACTATTTTTTCCACAGGTGTATTGTAGAGTTGAGGAATTGATGCTTTCTAGCCATACATGCAAGTTCCCTTTCTTTTAAGGTATTGTAGGCAGATTTTGCAAAATAAATCTTATTCTAGGACCTAGAATATACATTCATTTTGATAATAACAGTTCTTCCTAGCCATGATGAATTAAATTTAATCCACTGGGGTAATTTTTCCCTGACATGATTCCAAAGCAGTTGGAGTACTTTGGTTTGTTTAAATGTTTTGATATGATTATGCCTAAAAAATGTAAGCTTTTAGACTCTATATCCATTCTCTGTATTCATTACTTAATTTCCTCTTCTATTTATAGCTCATATTTATATAAAGTATACCTGATTTAGTGTAGCTGGTTATCAGCCCTGCCATTCCTGAAATTCATTTTCAATTATTGGTGCTTCATTTATCGTTTTGCACAAAAATGGAACAATATCATCTGCATAAAATCCAATTTTATTTGTTGTTTGTTTCACTGTCACTCCCCTCCAACTCTGGTTTCTGCCTTATCCCCTCTGCTAGAGGTTCTAATGCTATGACAAACAGAAGCAGGGAAAGGGGATACTCTTGCCTTGTACCTCAAAGTTTGAAAGGTATTTGGGAAACGCATAAGCTAAACGTCTGTGAGGATTCTTATGAGTGTTTTGCTGATGCAATATTGGTCTTAGATATGCAAGCTACCGTGTGTGTGTGTGTGTGTGTGTGTGAGAGAGAGAGAGAGAGAGAGAGAGAGAGAGAGAGAGAGAGAGAGAGAGCATCTTTAAGGCTACCCTATTCCATAGAAACTTAGAATCACAGACCCAGTACAGAGTGCACAAAGATTCATATGACTGTGGCACAATGATTACAGCAATCCACTCTAGGCCATCATCAGGCCTACATTTGAATGACTGCCTTTTTTTTCTCCTCGTGTGAACACACTTAAGCAGACGCAATGTGTTCCCATTATGTTTGATGGGGCAAAGGCGCAGCACCCAGAGTCAGGCAGAGCTGGGGCAAGAGTTGGTATCTATATACCTCTTATTTAGGTTTATTACCAATTCATGTTCAGTCAAGCACTCTTTCATTCCCATTATATTACCGTAATTCAATACATTAATTCAATCACAACCCTGCTGAAAAATTAGAGATGTTCTTACCTGTTGTACTGCTGCTGCTGCTTCCCTCCATGCCTCTTTTCAGTGCTAGACTGCTGGCTTTTTCAGTGATATTCATTCTTTCATTTTCTACTCCCTCCTCATATGTATTTATTCACTAAGTGTGAGATTGCCCAAATGAACCAGGTTTTACCATTTCTTCTTGCTTTCTACCCTCGTGTTCTACCCCAGTCATCCCTTTTGCTGCTTCTTACCCCTAAAGTTCACCTTAGCCACTACCCTTGCTGCTTTTTACCCCTGGATCCTACACTTGCCACCCCCTTGCTCCTTCTTATCCCCCATGTTCTGCCCTCTGTCTCATATACATCAACAGAGTGCCTTTGATATGGATGGATCATTAAGATTTTCTATGCCAAGGATCAGCAAAGAACATGGACAGGACAAGTAAACATTACTGCAAATTCACATACAATATTTTTACATCACTTTAGAATGAAACCAATGAAAGAAGACCATTGGACTTGGTTCTGAATCAATGGGCCTAAAATGGCAGAAAGATTAATTTCATTCAAAAAATTATTTTTTTAATGCTTTCTCCTGCTCCTGACTGTCTCAGTCCATTCAAGGCCATTGGCAACCACAACCCTCTCCTAAAAGCTAGCAATCTCCATATAAAGGATGGAGCAAGGAGGGAAGCAAAGAGATGCGCCCTCCAAATCTCAAGCCCAGGTACAAATCTACAGCACAAATCTAATGCATAAATCTGATGCTGAATATGAATGCTCACCACCCCTCCAGTTGAAATCCAGTAGCCTAACGTATGCTGTATGTGATTAATAATGATGATGTAATCAGCCACAGAGATTTTTCAGAAATAAAAAGATTCAATTCCATCCCTGCAAAGCTCCTGAGGCACCCCTGGGATCCCTTTTGTTGTGGGAAGCCATTGGGGCCTGTGGGATGTGGGGGCTCTTTAATTTTCAGGAAACATTGCCGCTAGAATGACTACCAGCAGCAGCAATATTTGGAAATAAAAGACTCCCCTCATCCTGTGCCCCCCCCAACAGCTTCCCCATGTCAAAAGGGATACCATGGAAGTCTTGGATCCTTGCACGGGGGTGGGGGATCAAATTTTAATTTTAAAAAAATCCACAACTGAGGATGTCACCAGCTTTACATAGTTTATGTTACGATACTGGATTTTGACCACAGTAGCATAAAGCACAAAGAAACCAAGAAACCCTCTTTTGCATCACGCCTTGTTTTTCCTTCTCTATCCAAATACTGTGCTCTCAGTATGCAAATACAAGAGGCATATAGGCAATGGCCAGTTCACATTTATGTATATGTTTCAAACAGTTTTTTAAAAAAATCTTTAGGGCAGTAATATCAGTACAGTACTATGAGTTTATAGTGTAAACCACTCATTGGCTTTCACTGTGTAGCTGATCTAGGAACAGAAGGATGATGATCACTGTTAACAGGGGGGGGGGGGAGAAATGGGAGATTCTTCAAACCTTTTTTTAGAGAACCTTAGAAGAAAACTGACCTGAGCTGCTGACAATTAAAGTTTTTGTAATCAGGAACACACATGCATGATATGACTAGGAGTCATCTGCAGCACAGAAGCAATTACATTGAAAATGCAATATACG